TCTCTCTCTCTCTCTCTCTCTCTCTCTCTCTCTCTCTCTCTCTCTCCTCCCCTCCTTTTTGTGGTCTCTAAATCAAGTCCTGCCCCCAAGCAAACCTCCCTTTCAGCCTCCCAAGTAGCTGGGACTAGAAGCTCCTGACACCATGTCCAGCTCTTTTCTCTTTTTAATTTTTTTTTTCCTTTTTCAGTGCTGAGAATCAAACTCAGGCATGAGCTTGGCCACTGAAATCAACCCCTTTTTTTCTTTCTGACACACGCCAAGCTCATCCCTCTGCCTCTTCTCCCCAATATCCTGCCCTTAGTTTACGCCCCTGTCCTGGCTACTGTCTCAGCAGCCCTATCTGTGTGGCTGGGTCAGCCCTGTAGTGCCGGCACCCAGTAGGTGTGAGCCCATAGAGCCAGGTTGTGTTGTGCTCTGAAGTGGAGATTTAGTGGCTATAAAAGGTACTTGGGGTGGGCAGCGGCCAGGAGACCCCAGGCCTGGGCTAGAAGCAAAGGGTTCCCCAAGACCACAGGCTGTAGCCTGAAGTCTTCCTCAACAGTGTGTGCCTGCTCCTCCTCAGGACTACCTGGACGCCCTCACTGGCATCTGCTATGATGGCATCGAGGGCTTGCTCTTCCTCGGCCTCTTCTCCCTCCTGGCCGCCTTGGCCTTCTCCGCTCTGATCTGTGCGGGGCCGAGGGCCTGGAAGCACTTTACCAGCAGGTGGGCTTCGGGGAAGGGGTAGCTTCAATGGCCTGGGAGTGGGAGGGTGGCACGGGCCCCAGAGGGCTGCCTGGGTGTGCAAAGAAGCTTCCCAGGGTGTCCCCACTGGTGCTTTAGGGGCACAGGGACCAAGGGTGGTACCACTTCAGGGCTTCCTCGCTGCTCCGGCCCTTTGGCCACACTCTGTAAGGGGGATAACAAGGGGAGTTTGGGTGCTGGGCGGGTACCTTGAGAGAATCTAAGAAGGATAAATTGGGTCCCTGTGAGAAGGGAGCCAGTTGTCTCTGGGGACAGGATGAGGCGTCAGCCCTTGGCAGGCAGGAGAGAGGGAGGGGTGGGAGGCCCCTTGTGGAGCCAGCTGGAGGGCTGCCTGGAGGAGGAGGATTAGCGTGGAACAGAGACCGTGTGAGCAAGGGTCATGCTTCGGGAGAAGACACATCTGGCCGTTGAGAGCACCCTAGGAAGAAAGGCAAGGAAGAAGAGCAGGACCCAGCAGCCCAGGCCTCCCTGGCCAAGCTTTATGTCATTCTAGGGACAGAGACTATGACGACATAGATGACAACGACCCGTTTAACCCCCAAGCACGGCGCATCGCAGCCCACAACCCCCCGCGGGGGCAGCTACACAGCTTCTGCAGCTACAGCAGCGGCCTGGGCAGCCAGAGCAGCCTGCAGCCCCCCATGCAGACCATCTCCAATGCCCCCGTCTCGGAGTACATGTATGGCCCGGCCCCCCACATCCGAACTGGGGCAGCACAGTCCTTCCCAGCCCTAGAGAGCGGCCGGGTGTGCTGGTTTGGTCCACAGAACCACGCATGGGAGGGAAGGCTCTGAAGCCTGGCCGTGGCCCCTGACTCCTCACCCGCCCACATCCGCATGTACTGGGGAGAGCCCAGCATGGATGCCTGCCTGGGGCCTTCTACCACGGACCCTGCACAGGTCCTGGGCCTGAGCAGCTGCGCCTCCCCATGCCGCGCCGCTCCCCAGCTGCATGTCCCCTGGTCCTCCTAGCATGCTTGGTTCTTTTCCCATCTACTCTTGCTGCATTTCCACGCTGGCCTATGCTCAGCCACGGGACCCTCCTGGACACGTCAGCACACACTGCACCCAATGCCCCCGGGCCTTCCTGAGCGCTCTTCTCGGCCCGCAGGAACCAGGCCATGCTCTTTGGTGGGAACCCTCGCTATGAGAACGTGCCACTCATCGGCAGAGGCTCTCCTCCACCCACGGTAAGCAGCCTTCCTTCCGCTGCAGGGCCAGCACTGTGGCCCTGGCTGGGGAGATAATCAGAGATAATCCCCTGCCAGCCCAGTGAGTGCTGCCCGCAAGGGCAGAAGAGAACAAAACAGCTTTGTTATTGAATAAGCGTCGGACCAGACCACCCTGGGTATCACGGTCAGTCTACTGAAGAGACTGCACAGGCAGAAAGATGTCACCCTTCCCTGTGGCCACAAAAGCACAGCCCATTGTACTGCTGTCCTCAGGATACCTGGCACCTGTCCTCAAGCAAATGTGACAGCACCCTTGGTCACACCAGCTGCCTGCCCTGGGTCCCCTGGTAATTGGGGTGGTAGCCCTCTTTGTCAGACAGTTGCCTTTATCTAGAGGAAAAATGGAATTTCTGCGGCCCCGTGACAGTTGGGAACTCTAATATAGAGGCAGGCGTCTAACTTGGGCTCCCACTGAGAAGGCCAATGTGTCTTTCCCTGTGTCCCTATGTCCTTAAAAAGCCAGACCAGTCCCAGAACTCTTGAAAGCTGAGGCAGGGAGATCACAAGTTCATGCCCAGTCTGGGCAACTGCACGACTTAGTGAGACCCTGTCTCAAACCAAAAAATAAAAAGTACTAAGGAGATAGACCAGTGCCAAGGCCTGGGATTCGCTCCCCAGTAGGAGAGATAGAGAATGCCAGCCCACTCCTACATTGTAAGACTGCCCAGAGCCTTATTTGGCCTTTTAAAAAGTTAAATACATCTCAAAAAGACAGAGACAAACTGGTGGGGTGGCACGTATCTGTAATTCAAGGTCCTCCGGAGGCTGAGGCAGGCCGACTGAAAGTTTGAGTCATGCCTGAGCAACTTAGTAAGACCCTGTCTCAGAATAAGAAAAGAGCTAGGGATGCAGCTCAATGGTTGAGCATCCCTGGTTTTCATTCAAGCATCATTAAGAAAAAAATGTACACTAAATTTCTAAAGAAAACACTCTGAAAAGAGAGAGCATCTTAGTTTCTTTCTCACTGCTGGGATAGTACTCACCAGCCAGAAGTAAAAGGGGGGAAGAGAGGTTCATTTGGGCTCGCGGTTTGTAGAGGATCCAGGCCGTGGTGGGTAGGCTCGAAGGCAGGGCAGCAGAACGGAGGGGAGAGTTCATGGCCTGGCAGGCTGGAAATGGCAGCCTTCTCCCGCCTTCCCCTGTTCAGGCCACAAGCCCATTGGTTGGTGCCACCCATAGCCAGGGTGGGTCTTCCCTCTTCAGTGAATCCGTCCCTCAGAGTCACGCTCAGCCAATCAGTGGGCTGATCCAGTGCTACCAACCCATCCCGTCACTCGCCAAAGCCCCCCCTTTGAGAGCAGGAGGCTCCTGCAAGACGCCTAGGTGTAAAGTCATGACAGAGCAGTCACTTCAGTTTTGCACCTAGGAGAGGGAAGCGAATTTTCCTTTTAGATTTGTGCTTCTCCTTAACGTGACGAGTGACGGAGTAGGTAGAGCGAGGCGGAAACACCGGGCTGGTCTGCTCCCAGAGAAGGCTCTGAAAGTAACAGGACTGCTGCCTGGGGTGGGAAGCACCGCCACAGGCAGCCCAAACTCTGGCCACAGTGCCTGGGCTCACATCCCAGCTCATTACTGATGGTCTCTAGGCTGCGTGGACAACTACACGCAGCCCCTTGCCTCAGCCTCTCCACCTATAGGGCTGGGGAGTGCCAATGGAGGTGATCTTGGAGGAATCTGCTAGTACAGAGGCAAGGCATGGCTGGGGTGCAGCTTGGTGACACAGTGCCTGTCTGGCGTGCACAAGGGGGCCTGGGCCCCATCCCCAGCTATGCAGATGGAGGTGTTTGTGTGTGGCGCACGGTGCCGTAGGGCAGTGAGCTGTTTTATGGGGTTTTTTAACCCTACTTTTTTCCATTATAAGAAAGGGCAAAGGCAGGAGACTGAGAGACGCAGGCAGGAGAGTCCTGAGCCAGGTATTTGCTTTCACGTGACTGGAGGTGGCATTTTTCCCTGGCCATCCAGGGGGTTTGCAAAGGGATTGCAACCACTGTGAGAGGGCACCCCGGTACCCGGCGCCAGTGAGGGGCTTGGGCCCAAGAACCCGGAAGGCACCCAGATGGGCATTCAGCAGCGTCCTAGCCTCTGCCTGCTCCAACGCCTGCGACAAATCCTTAACGTGGACAAATCCCATTCTTCCCTCCCGTCTCCCCACCCTGCTCTGCCTCAAGCACCTCTCCTGCTGTCCTGGGGAGAGGAGAAGACTTTGCCGGAGTCAGTACCTTTTAAAACCCACCCAGCATGGGGCCAGGGAGATGGCTCAGTAGAATAAGCACTTGCCTGTCAAGCGCAAGGGTCTGAGTTCAATCCCGGGTTCTGCCAAAAAAAAAAAAAAAAAAAACCCACCCAGCTTTTCTTTAATACCTGAAGCCTCCTGTGGGCCTCTGTTCTTCCCACCAGCTCTGGGACCCAGAAGTACAGATTGACTTTAGTAGTATTCTAAGCAAAATATAATTTAGGGAAAATCTGCCATGAAAACAATTACCCCCCCCCCCAAAAAAAAAGAAAAGAAAACAATTACCCAGTGCGTTTTGTTTTGGTTTGGTTTGGTTTTGGTTTTGTTTTGCCTGGCTCAGGCTGCTTTAATGGCAGGTGCAGTGTGGCATGTGGAGCTGGGGATCGAACCGCGGTCCCACAAGCCTGACTGGGTTTGCACGGGCAGGTGCTTAAACAACTGAGTTAATGAGCAAACCCATACCCAGTTCCTGTGATGTTAAATAAAACTGATTTTTGGATTACCTTGTTTGGATAGATCAGGCTGGTCCCTTTGCCATTAGCAGAGGTAAACAAGGACTGACCTTACTTGCTGGACTCAAGGGCAGAATAAACCTTCCTCCGGGAAATTAAGACCTGTGCAAGAGCCCAGTTCAGCCTGCCCTGGGGAAGAGCCCTCCCTCCCTGCCCCTGCAAGGCCTTGAGGAGAACCCTGATGCTGCTGCTGACCAAGGGTGAGGGCCCTCAGCCCAGTAAAGGTGGTGTAACTGGCCTTCCCAGCTCCTTCTCTGGGACAGCTGGGGGCTGTCACTGTGGTAAAATAGGCCCACTAAGGAAGGCACAGCCTTCGCCTTGGCAGGAAATATGTCATCCTCTAGCTCCGCCTTCAGAGAATCCCTCCTGTCCTATCCTGTCCTGTCGTGTCCTATCCTTCCAGGCACTGGCTCCTGGACCCAATGGCCCCAAGGCAAGTGCTAAAGTTATGCCACAGGACATTACAACAGAGTTAAATGTCTTCCTGGGCTTTCATTGTGATTCTAAAATTGGGCACCACTTCATCTATAAAATAGAAGCAGTGTTCCAGAGAGCTGGGCTGAGGCATTATTTGGGGCTTCTTGTTTAAGTAGGTTGGTGCTGCCGCGGGGCTGCAGACAAACCGAGCACAGAGCTACTCCGCCACCCAGGAGGCTGGCTTAATAGACAGTGGAGGACCTGGGACGCAGAAACAGGGAAGAAAGAATGGACTACTCATTTTACAGTTACTTTCCTTGGAAGGGGAGGAACAGGGAATGAGAATAGAGAAGTGACACACTGATCAACATTAGGTTATTTCAGGTCCCCCCAGCCCTTACTGGGGGATGGACCCAGGGCCTTTGCACTGAGCCACATCCTCAACTCACTTTTTATATCCAAAAAGTAATTTCTATAATTTCAGTTCAATAACACCAACACTAAGGATTCTTTTCAAACTCTCAGGAGTCGAATCTGAGAAATCTGAGAATCTGGGAAAGAGGCCTGGGAGATTCTAAGTCTTAACAAATCTATCGGCAAGTTTGGGAAGTACTGCTTGAAGGAGGGGAGCCTGACATCTGTGTGTTCATTAGAGTCACAGGACTTGTTAAAAATCTACACTCAAGAAAATTAAAAAATAAGGGCTGGTGAGATGGCTCAGTGGTCTGGAACACCAACTTAGAGCAAGCTTAGCAGAGCACAGGGACTACGGTTCAATCCCCCAGCACCACATGCCAGCCAGGCCCGCCCCCTGGTGGGCTGAGCTGGCCACACACACACACACACACACAAATAAATAAATTTAAAAAAAAAGAAAATTAAAAAATAAGACACACTCTTATAGGTGGACATGGGACATGCTTCCAATCCCAGTCCTCTGGAAGGAGGAAGAGCCCAACTTCCAGCCCAGCCTGGGTGACTTTCTGACTTAGCAAGACCCTGTCCCAAAATAGAAAGGCTGCACCTCAATGTAGACAATTCTGGGCCCAGCCTGCTGCAGATTCAGGAATGTGGTGTGCGCCTGGGAATCGGCACTTCTGGTGTGTTCCTGGGTGAATCTGGCACTGCCGGTCGGTGAGCCACAGTGGAGAACAGGGGGCCTCGCTGGGTGTCGGCCCTGCTCAGGGGCAGGGTGGGCCTCCATTGGAGGCTGTCCAGGGCATCATGGGCTGTGTAGCGGCATCCCCGATCCCCATCCACCCAATGCAGAACACGTCCCCCCCCAGCTCGATCAAATCATTCCCAGATGTGGTCAGTGTCTTCTAGAGGCAAAACCTCCTCCTCCCCCACCCCACGTGGTAGAAGCTTCCACTTCCCTCTGGTGCACGTGACCCAGACGTCCACAGCTATCCTGGGGCCACAAGGCCATCTGCTGACCCTTGCTACTCCTTTTTTTTTTTTTTTTTTTTTTTTGAGACAAGGTCATACTATATAGTACAAGCTGGCCTTGAACTTGCTTATGTAGCCCAGGCTAGCCTCAAACACGTAGTGATCCTCCTACTTTGGCCTCCTGAGTAGTAGGAATACAGGTGTGAACGCTCATACCCAGCTCATCTCTGCTTCTTAGAGGGTTAACACTTGGGTTAGGTCACAACCTCTTGTTGGAATTCCCAGAAGACTGCTAAAAGCAATACTGGTAGCACTTGAACATGCTTAGCTGGTTTTTTTTTTTTTTGTTTTTTTGTACAGAGAATTGAACCCCAGGGCCTTTGCACTGGCCTACATCACCAGCCCTTTTAAATTTTTTTTTAATTATTTATTTATGTGTGTGTGTGTGTGTGTGTGTGTGTGGCCAGCTCAGCCCACCAGGGGGCGGGGCTGGCTGGCATGTGGTGCTGGGGGATTGAACCTCGGTCCCTGTGCTTTGCTAAGCTTGTTCTGAGTAGGTGCTTCAGACCACTGAGCCATCTCACCAGCCCCCCTTTTTAAAATTTGAACTTAGTGTCTTGCTAAATCTCTTTAAGTTGCCCATGCTGGCTTCAAACTTAGATTCCTGCCTTGGCCTCCTGGAGCTCTGGGATTGCAGGTGTGTGCCACCATACCCAGGTTACCATGCTGAATTCTGTGCATTTTTACATCCATGAACAAAGACATCCTGGTCAGTTGGCCTCAGCGTCAGGGTTATTTTAGGCTCCTGGTGTTCGCAAACCTCAGTGGGAAGTTGACTCCATCTTTTCACAGTCAGAGCTAAGTGCTCGTAGGGCTATTTTATAGGTGGAGAACTGGAAGCTGATGGGTGTTGGAGAGCCTTACTAAGGTCACCAGGGACATAAACCGCCCAGCTCGGGCTGGGCCCTGGCGCTCAGGGTCTGTGGCCCCGTAGCCCCAGCCTGCTGGTTACTACCCACTCCTAGCTGCCCTGCTGTACTCACTGCCCCAGGTGGGGATGCAGGTCCAGTGCTGGTGGTGTACTCACGTGGGCACAATGGAGGGAGGACAGTTGGCCTCTGTGTGTGTGTGTGTGTGTGTGTGTGTGTGTGTGTGCCATGTTTCATGGTGGAGCCAGATGCCCTGATGGATGTGATGCTGGAGGCCTTGCCAGATGCAAAACTGCTCTGGGGTGTCCCAGACCCCACGATGCTTGTGATGGAAGCTCGGTGCCTGGCTACTGTGGCAGGCCCAGCTCCCACCTCTGAGTAGTTCGTTCCTTAGCCAGTGCATCTTAAACCCTACCCTCCTAGTTTCTCCCTCTGGTACCAGGGATTGAATCCAAGGCTTTTGCACTGAGCAGCATCCCCAGCCTTTTTTTAAAACTGTTTAATTTTGGAACAGAGTCTCGCTGAATTAAATTGCTAAATTACTGAGGCTGGGCTTGAGCTTACCATCCTCCTGTCTCAGCCTTCCATACTGATGGGACTGCAGATGTGTGCACCACACCTGGCCACAGCTTTAAAATACCTTTGGGTCTTACTAGGGCGCACTGTGGATGGGAATGGGGGAGGGGTGGAGCGCAGCCTCCCACCCTCTGCTCCCCTAGTAGGAACTGTGTGCACGGTGACTGATGCTGCTGTCTCCCCACAGTACTCCCCCAGCATGAGGGCTACCTACATGTCCGTGGCAGAGGAGCCCTTGAGGCCCTACAGCGGTGAGTTTCCAGCCTAGAGGACTTCTGGATTCCTGTTGCCTCCTTCCTGTTTGGTTTCTAACAGATACACCACAAGCTGCGTTTCTCTAATGGAAACCAAAGGCACCCAGAGACTGGCAGGCTGCTGTGGTGAGGCAGAGCTGAGACTCCTCACTGAAGTCTCAGGTGGCTGGAAGCCATGACCCAGTGGCCTCTCCCCCATCCCGCTGTCCACCCCAGGGCACCCCACCCCCACCAGGTGGGGAACAGCCCCCAGGAGGGAGGCACCCAGATGCCGCCAGCCTGAGAGCTGCATTCTCTTGGATCCCAACACCAAGACTGCCTCTTGTTACGTTGGCCAAAAGCCCAGACAACATCGTCGCCGCCCTTCATTTCATAGCAGGTGACAGTGGGAAGGGCCCCTCAGGAGTGCGCTTATGGGAGACAGTGGCCCTGCCGAGTCCAGAGCACTGTCCACATCTGAGTTCCTGGGCCCCATGGACTCTACCTGGGCCTCAGAGACCTGAGGTCAGGTGGCTTCTGTAGCCCGGGACTGGTGGTCCGGGAGGACAAAGACTGCTGCATTCTGCTCATCCTCCTGTCCCCAGCTGATGGTCTCAGGTATGGACAGACACTTCAAAAATGACTTCACTCTTTTTCCTAGCGTTTCCAAACAGTTTGATGATCCAAAGAATCTCCGCTTCCAGCGTAGCCAGCTTTTGCTGTAGATTTGGTGCCCATTCCTGAAGCTGGTTTTAATACTGCTAGTTCAGAGTTTTGCTGGCACCAGCCAGTTTATTACAGATCTGGAGTGGAGGGAAGGAACGGAGTTTTAAATAAAATGAAGGGTCATGAAGCATCCTGCCCCAAGGGTGTCTGACTCTGTCCTGTTTACAAGAGAGCCCTATAAGCAAAATCAAATCCTCTCCTCCAGAGAACAGCAGAATGCCCAAGACAGCTGTCCCTTCCCTTTTGTTTCTGAGTTTGTCATCCAAGCTTTTAGCAAGATGATGCAGCTTGTTACAAGGACAGGCCTTCTTGCTGCCTACGCCACTGTGCTGTCCCCATGCCAGAGTCCTGGACCCTGACCTGCTAGGGGAGAAGTAGCTCATCGACCAGGAGGACGTTATGATATCTGTCTTGCCCAGCGCGGGGGGTCAGGGTAGGCTCTGTGGTGCTTCCAGCCTCCTACCAACCCACGGTGCACACCACTGAGCCCACAGCCTTCCATGCCAAGCACTGTGTGGCTAGTGGCTTGGGACAAGGATTTGGCTTCCATTTGGAGACGACACATGCTGACAGCAGAGTCTCCGAGACAGAGTTGGGCCATGGGCACCCGGGACTCGCTGTCTGACCCATACTAACCTCAACATCCCGTGAACTGTAAACCCCTTCATGTGGCCATGTCACATGCAAATAGCCCTGTGACATCATTGAGGTGTCCTTTCTAACATTTTCATTATTGGCAACCTAAGGGTTGTTTTTAATACATGTAAACTAAACTCAAATTGCCCAGGTATTCCTGGAGGAGCCAGGGGGACAAGCCTGTGTGACCCATGTACACCCTCACCTGGGAAAGAAATAAACCACTTGTACTAAAATGTGTGGTCAGGCTGTGACTTCTTGGGCCCAGGGAACAGCGGCATTTAAAGGTTCCCCTCTGGCCTCCTCCGCGTTTGAGGCATCAAACACAGCGTGTGAGGTTACCAGCAAATTCCAGTAGTGATTTGAATGAGAGGATTGAAAGGGCTAAGAATAGGGGCTGGAGAGATGGCTCAGTGGAATAAGTGCTTCCCTGGCAAGCACAAGGGCCTGAGTTCAATCCCTGGTTCCACCAAAAAATAAATAAATGAAAGGGCTAAGCGAGGCCTCCTGCATGGCCTCTGGATGCTCTTATGGGCAGGCCATTTTCTCACCCTAGTCTCTGGGGTTCCCCCTCATCATTGTTGTTAAGGTTGTTAGTAGTGAGTAGCACTGTTGAGTGCTCTGTGCCAGGGACTGCCCAAGGTGAATGTGTGTTAAGGGATTTTGTTCTTTTTTGGGGGGTGGGTATTGGGGCCTAACCCTCAGGGTGCTCTATCACGGAGCCCCACCCCCATCCCGCTACTGCCACCATTTTGAGGTGATAGTCTTGCCAAGTTGCATAGGCAGGTCTCAAACTCGAGATCCTCCTGCCTCAGCCTCCCTGGTAGCCAGGATTACAAGCATATACCCTAGTGCCCAGCGATATATTAATTTTTAATTCAACCTCACAATAACTCTAGAAGGCCTCCCATTCTGCGTATTAGTCAGCAGGTGCATTGAAGCCAAGGGCCTGGCTGGAGTGAGTGCAATCCCAGGAGTTTCCAGCCCAGAGTTCAAGTCCCAGCCCCCACCCCCATGATTCCCTGGGGTTGGGCCATGGTTGGTAGTCACTCAGGGACTGCTGCTGTGAGGCCTGTGGAGCCACTCCTCCCTCCCCCACCAGCCTCAAGTGGGCCTTGCTGCTGGCCCCGCCCAAACATTTGCTCTCCCTGGGCTGCCTCTCCAGCCAGGGGCCTCTGAGACACCACACCCTTCCCTCTTAATTTGCTGAGTCCCTGAGGAAGCAGGGCCAGCCTGGGGTTACTCAAAGCCATAAGCAGCTGAGAGTGCACTGCCACTCTCCTCACGTGGACTGCACTTTCTGGAGCTTTGGAGGGAGGAACTGAAGCGTTCCTATCCTTGCGGAGCCCCTGAGGTGAGATCCAGACAGCCCTGCGGAAGGGCGGAAGGGCGCGCGTCAGAGACACAAATGGTTTCCCCAGTCCTCCTCTGTCTGGTCTCAGGGCTCTGCCAGCAGGAAAATGCCCTGGAGCAACAGGGAAAGTCTTTCTGTGGTTTGTTTGATGTGGAGGCAGCGGGCAGCTCCAGAGCCCAGTGGGAGCAGCTTTGGGGGCTCTTAATGCTTCTGAGGTAGACAGCTGAGTTGCAGCAGGGCTGAGAAGCAGGAAAGAAGCCCTGAAGACACATAGGGCGGGGGGTGAGCTGATCGGCGGCGTCAGGGGCATCACTCTGTCCTGCTTTGGCCTGCTGCGGGAAGTGGGGGCGGGGTTGCTGTGTTACTCCCCAGCTCACCTTTACTATCTTCTGGGCTGCCTGACTGCAGACCACAGGGAGATGGGCAGCCAGTGACCTGGACTGGAGTGTGGCTGCCAGGCCTCGTACACTGATCCTTCACCATACACATGCATGTGGCCCCAGGCTGCCCTTCACCCACCTCTCTGCACAGCGGGTCCAGGGCCTGCTCCACAGTCGTTTCCCCCCACATGTTTTTTCCCAGCTGTGAAGCCTGGTGGTTTCACGTGCAGGCGGAGCAGTAGGTTGACCCTGTCCCTTGGCCCTGTACCCTGCCGCTGTGGGAGGCCGGGTGCTCATGGACAGACCTGCCTCCTGCCCAGCCTCCTTTCATTTCCCCAAATACACAGACTATACTGCCTGTCAACCACAGCCAGGAGTATGGAATAGTTATTTGTGATTGATCAATTGATCGATCGATTGGTTCATTGATAAAGTCTCACTGTGTTGCCCAAGCTAGTCTCAAAATTCCTGGATCAAGTGACCCCCTGAAAGGGAAAAATTACAAAAAAAAATTCTTAAAACTTTGTTCTTTTAGGGCTGGCCAAATAGCATGCTCAGACAGCGATTGAGACTGGGCGTGGTGGCACATGCCTGTAATCCCAGCTCTTGGGAGGCTGTAAACAGGAGGATCACTGCGAGTCTAATCTAGTAGTGAGACCCTGAACACCCTGTAGACCCTTCCCTAAAACACACACACACACACACACAAAAAAAAAAAAAAAAACACACACACACACAAAATACCTCCGTTCTTTTGAAACTGCCCAGCTCTGTAACTGCTTCATGGCTTTGTAATTAACTTTCTTCGCCCTGGTAACCATGAGAGCATAGCCAGACATGCAAGATGATCATTAATCTACCCTTGTCACCAACGATCTCACCTGCTAGCTAATCAGAAGGACTGCCAGGCTGTACTGTCTCACCTTTGTACCTCCTGCTTGTGCCCAAGTCCAGCAGAGAGCAGGGTCTGCTCTTCAAGGAATGATCCTGGTCAGTGCCCGTTGGCATAAATAAATCTGTCTCTAAATCCTGGGTGTCATCTCGGTGTCTCTGCTTGCTGTTGGAGCCCTACTCAGCTTGCCCGGGGCTGGAACTACAGGCAGGTACACTGCACTTAGCTAGTTTACGTGTGTGTGTGTGTGTGTGTGTGTGTGTGTGTGTGTGACTGGAGATTGAACCCAGGGCCTTCATTCCAAGCTACATCCCCAGTCCATTTTTAGGGTTTTTTTGTTTGTTTGTTTTTTGTGGAACTGGGGATTGAACTCAGACCCTTGTGTTTGCCAGGGAAACACTTATTCTACTGAGCCATCTCCCCGGCCCTATTTTTTGTTTTGAGAGGGTCTCACTGCATCACTAAGCTGCCCAGGCTGGGCTTGAAATTGCACCCCTCCTAACTCAGCCTTCCAGAGTGCTGAGATCATGCCCTGCCTGCTTTTTGTTTTCTTTTTCTTTCTTTTCTTTTCTTTTTTTTTTTTTTTGCGGAACTGGGGATTGAGCGCGGGCTATTGTGCTTGCCAGGGAAGCACTTATTCCACTGAGCCACCTCCCCGGGCCCCGCTTTTTGTTTTCTTTTCCTTTTTTCTTTCTTTCTTTCTTCTTTCATCTTTTTGAGACAGGGTCTCACTATGCAGTTCAAGCTGGCCTTGAGCCCATTTTGAAGCCCAGGATGTCCTGAAACTCCCAGCGATCTTCCCTCCCACGCCCCCTTTTTTTTTGCAGTGCTTGGTACTAAACCCAGGGCATAATACATGCTGGGCAAACACTCTACCACTGAGCTATACCCAGCCCCATTTTTCCCCCCACTGAGAATCAAAATCCCAACCTTGAGATTGCCAGGCAGTCACTGTGCCACTGGGCCATATCCCTGCCCCGCTCCAGCCCTAAGTTTTACCTTTTAAATGGTTGGAAAAAACAATTAAAGATTTGTAACTGATTTGGATGGTAGAGACAATGCCTTGAACTTCAACAAAGCAAAATGTTATCCTCCAGTATAACGAATTCCACTGTTGTCCTTAGTAAATCTGCATCACAAAAAACTACAATCAATTATACTTTTAATTTTCCAAATCAAAAAATGTGGAAATTGACTTTTCTCTTTGGTCATATGAATACAAAACCTAAGACATTTGCTGTGTTTACAGTAGTATAGTTTAGTGACCCTTTTCTCTGAATTCTGGGACAACAGACCTATCTGGGACAACAGCCCTATCTAAGCATAGCTCTGAATTCGTGGACTTTACAAATTAGCCAGGAACATAATCAACGTTGCTTTGCTTACGTATAAGTTCAAAGTCTTGGGCAGACAAGATTTCTGGAGTCTTGTGCTTCCTGTTTTGGCTTGTCTGGGAGTTTTTTCTTTTGTTTTTGCAATGCTAGAGATGGAGCACAAGGTCTAGAGCAGGCCAGGCAAGCGCACACTGCTGAGCTACACCCCCAGCCCATTGTCTGTTTGTTCTCATCTTTTTTTCCCTGATTACAAGAAAAAAAATGTGTGATGCAAGCATTCCTTACCAAAAAGAGAGTGTGAGAAAAAAGTCCCCCTGCTCCTCAACCCAGAACAAAACTCCATGAAGTTTGATCCATATTTTCCAAACTTAGTTCCAAAATATCTGTAGAAATAAAACCATATTACATATACTGTTCTATAATTGTTTTTTCTATAAGTAGGGCATGTTCCTATCATTCTTCAAAAATCTGTTCCCGGGCCAGCCAAATAGCTCAGCAGATCAAAGCGCCTGCTTAGGCAGATGCAGGATCCAGGAGTTTGATCCCCAGGCCTGCCGTGCTGGCCCC